TTTTATTTGGTGCATTATAATGTACTGTGAAATTAGAAATATTACAGTTCTTACACAAAATGCAATCCACTATGCTTTTGTCTAAAGAAATACATGACTATGTAGACTATAAAAGCAGAGAAAATATTCTTCAGATAGCTTAAACCACTGCATGGTGAAAGATTTTTGTTCATTATTACTCATTACAGAACCCAGGATGGTAGAGTTGACGCCTAATAATCTTTAACAATTAAGTGATTGTTAAAACCAAGCAGCATGTTGGAGCCTACTGCAAAATTACAAGCCGTTTACAAGTCTCAGTGAGTGATTTAACACAGCAATGAGTAATGATGTTCTGCCAGCACTCAACAAACTTTGTTAATTACGGAATGGTATTTTCTTTCTCACATACGCCCAAAAGAAACACGTGAAAGCTTGTGTAACAAGCCTACTATTTAAATAAAGCCTTGAAATATTCTCACTTATGACGTATTCATGAGGATTTAAACAGATCGTTCATGGAGTGAATTTTTGTGTAATTTTGACTCACTCTCCTAGGAAACAGACGTTTCAGTGAATAACAGAGATGCAGAAAAAAATGTCTTGCACCTCAAAATCCCCACACTTTCCTCAGCCTCAAAGGAACTTTATCCGAACAGGTTTTATTGATTGAATGTGAAATGTGACAAACAGGAAATTTGGCAGAAAGTAATCTTGTTCCCACACTTGGTCATAATCGTGAAAGGGCATGTCGAATAAAATGCGATTTCTTCCCTTCTCATATTTGAACTTCCAAGACCCTATATATTCTGAGTGACATATGCAAGGGAATAGAAGTCAGACTCATCTATCTTTAGCATTAGTAATTCATCGATATAGAAATTTGACTGATTGCTTTTGACATACATCACCTGAATGAGAGGAACAGATGAAATGACCATGACCAACAGTGGTGCAGTTCTAATGATCTGTGACGAACCACTGAAGTTTGAAACTCAAATCGTGTGACTTGACACGATTACATGACATGATCACTTATTCGAAACAGAAGATTTGTAAAGGTTTCAATGCCACAAGATAGGGCTTAATTTTAATAATCCACCATCACACAATACCCTTAAGCTATTTCAGAAATAGCTATATATGCTAGTATGCTGTTCTGAATTCAGCCTGTGTCACGTCATTTGTATTTAGCCTTCTTGTCACTGGTTGTGTTGTTAGAGGTAAAATCAGACATTTGTTACTTTGTCCATTAGCAAAATTTGAAGTTCTAATCTAAAAAAAGTTCTTTCCCAGACAGCAACATAGTGTCGGCCCAGATCCGGGCCACATCTGGTAGATGTGAATTTCCATATGTACCAGATGTGGGCCGGATCTGGGCCGACACACAACACTGTTGTTGGTTTTGGTGTGGAAAATCCACCACCACGCAATACAGTGCTGTCGTCGTGTTTGTTTGTAAATAGATATTCATTCTTAACAACAAGAAAAATGAACAGCCATGACAGCACCAGGACCAATTTTTGCATTTACTGAAATAGCAAATGTCAAGGGTTTTCAATAGAAAGGGAAGATTATGGCCTAAAAATAATTTTCTATTTGAAGTCAGATCTGAATAAGTACAATGTAATCCAAAGGTAAAAATCTGCATAAGAATACACCTGCCCTCACTGCCCCAACCCCTGAATGGTTATGTAATTAAAATTCTCATTTGCTTCTCTTTTTCAAGTGACCTTAACATCTTAAAACCCTAGAGTGAGTATATATAATATCTTGCATTTAAACTTTGGTCATGCCTGTAGCGAATATTATTAAACAAACTTGTTATAACTGATTATGAATATCACAAATTAATATAATGATTAATTTGTATGTCTGATTGGTCCAGACGCTACAGGCCTTAAAATGTACCATTTCCATATTATCCATTAAATTGCTAAAAGAAAGGAATTGTAATGGCTGTTTTTTTCTGCAGAAAGGTGATCTCTAATGATGTGTCTAATTTTGTATCGATCATTTGTTGGTAAAGGTTGAGAGACCTGGTGAGTCACATTACTTTTGTCAATAAGTCATAGGTTCCCGACCCTGTTATAGATCCACACATTCTGTTTGATGAGATGTCACACATGCATAACATGCTTCAGTTTAAATGTTGCATGGACAGAATGGCAGTGTCTCATTATTTGCATGGGAGAGAAAGCATATCAATCAATGAACATTCAAAAGTAAGGGGGTGGAACCTCAGCAGTGTCAACACAGATATTACAGAGAGTATTTTTCACTAAATGTGATTTAGTTAGTTTAAATGGAAAATTATTACAATGAGCTCTGCTCTGAGACACAGAAATGAGCTCATTTATCACAAGACATGCTGCATCCAGCCTAACACGCACACAGATGAATGATATTCTTGTTTCTAATTTTAGCTTAATTTCATTGAGGAACACTATGTAAATAATATTTTTACAACATATCCAATGATTTTGCTGGCAATATAACATCAAACAACATTGTGAATATCATGCGCTATTATATAAACTGTATATGACAGGAGAACATTTGTGAATTGAGGTTGATTGTATGTGTTGAAAAGCTTGCTTAAATTAATTGCAGTAATTTCTGATTTGAAAGTGACATCAGGTTTACTGCTTAAAATGGAATATAACAGCATATTAATCATGCATTTACAGACTTGTATTCAGAATAATAATATCTATCAGTGTTTTAATTAAAGGATTTTGTCTCCAAATATTCCTCAGACAACAATCAACATGCCTTGAGCAGGGCACTTACAGTAACCTCAAGTTGCTACATAATTAGGCTATATATACGTAAACAATTAATTATTAATGAAGTCAGGCTACTTATGATGAGATGTGTCAGCTAATGACAAAGAAAGCAAGTGTGTGTCCAATTTGCATAATTTGCAGTTCAAATTTGATTGCTCCAGATAAATATTTTAAATAGGCTAGTTTTTGAATTCAGAAATCGAAAAACAACTTTTCAGGATCTCAAATTTAAACATTGTCAAAACACAGCGTAAACCATACAAAGGTAACTGGGTGATTCTCTGAATTGGGTGCCCTTTAAGTCCCCCAAACTTGCTTCAAAAATGTTCAATTGAAGTAAATCACAAAATGCATTTTAATGCTGTCAAATAATAGAACCTTATTTCCATTATAGTGCAACACAACTGCTTTTAAAAAAAAATGTCATTTAAAAATAATGGGTTGCATGTTTATATGTCCTCACTAATCATTACATTTTCATTGAATATCAAACAAATAAAAAGTGCAATTAATACCAAAAGGTGTGTGTGTATATATATATATATATATGAAATTGCAATATTTATACACATCCTCCAGTTTGTTTTCAACCCCGTCACGCCATACCTTATAAAAATAATGGATCAATTCCTGCTGCATCTTATCCAGGAAGTGACATCACACAAGTCTCTTAAAAAACATGCTGCAAAGAAAGGCAAGTGTCAGTATCTATTTCATGTTTTTCGCTGTCTGATTAAAATTGTCAGGCTCAACATTTCAACACTGTTGTGTGACGAAATGATAGTAAACAACGGTTTAAGAAGAATTAAAAAATAGTTTTGCAAAACATTACAATTTTCTGATGTCCTATGTGGTGCTACTGTCTTAGCTCAGCAAGGAGTTATGGCTACTATTAGACAAAAACTTCAACCTCGTTACATTTTTAACAGGGTTGAATGTTTGACACTTCTTAGTACTCAATTGTAGACTTGTTTTATTGTGATGTAAACTGTCAGAAATAATCGATTATGCTGTTTTCAGACATCGCAATGGCAGAAACAGCAGCAGAGAGGCAAAGACAGTACAGAGCAAGAAGGGATGCAGAGAGAAGGGAAAATAGCTCAGCAAAGGGATACAGAGACAGGGAAAAAGAAAAAAAATAAGCTGCAATAAATAATAAATAAATCCATTCTACTGTATATTGAAATAATGATCATCACTTCAACCCTGTTACCATTTTCAACCCCATTGTGGTGAGTTCAACCCTGTTATTTGATAGTTTTTATTAATATTTTCGTGATAAGAATACAAATTAGGTCAATGTTTGTTTTGCTGTGTGTAGAATGTACTGGACAGTCTGAAAAAATATGAAAGCCTGATTAAATCCTAATGTTAATGCATATTTTGTGATAAGATGAAGACCAATGTTAGATACAGTTTTCATGAGCTGATTTGGTATTCAAATGGTGAGTATTTAAAAAGAAAATTCTACATTAAAATTCTACATTCAATAAATGATAAACAAGGGACATCTCATTGAAAAGCTTCTACAAGAATTTACTTGAAAATCTTTTAAAATCATATTTAAACAGGGTCCAAGTGGTCTGTGGAAGGGTTGAATTTCAAAACAACTTTCAGTTAAAAAAAAACACTCAATATTGATTAGAATGCCTGAGGTGGGAAAATACATTTTCTTAAAGATTTGACCAATCCACTATCACATGAAATGATCAGAAATATAACTATTTCAGTTATAAAAAAAGAAGGTATGACCCAAAAGGCAGAGAATCGCCCAAAAGCTAATTTTGGTAAAAATGCATTTTTCTCACAGTATATTTATAGGCTCCTTTTAAGTTTGTGCGTAATTTCATTGCTGTATGTTGAAGATAATCATTGACATGACAGAATGTTGCTGTACTACAACTAGGGAAAACAGCTGTGAAAGAAATAAGAAATGCGGCTACGGGAGAGGTGCAGTGATATTTTGAAAGTGTTTCAAAATGACTGGAAGTCGTCATCCACCAATCGACGTTTCCACAGTTCAGGCAACACGCAGTTCAATTTTTAATTGCATTTTAAGCGTATTTGAAAGCAACTAAAGAACAAACAAGTGCACACGTGAATCATTTTCTGCAGCCAGGTGTTCACAAAGAGCATAGACCTTGACATTTCATCTCTTGCTTTCGCACTAAAGCAACACAGACAGTCGTAAGCAGATGACGAACAAGAGTGATGCAGTCTTGAGTGTGTTGTCAATACATCTCGCAAGTGAAGCTGTGAAGCTCCTCTCGTGCTCTGAGTGTGATTCGCTCATTGGTCGCTGAACTGTCAGCAGCTCGAGCCGCGATGAGCCACTCACCCGGAGGACTGCTCACTCAGGGCTCTTATGATGATGTCCCCTCATCTGAACTTATGTTTTACTCATCTGCCAACACCGTGTCCGATGTGTCAGCTAATGTTTGATTGACTTTATTTTTAAAAGCAGGATAAACTTTACGGATTCAAGTTAGTTTTTTAATTCACGGTAGTCGAACATTCACGGAAGAAAAAGCATCAGTGATGGACGCCTCAAAATTGGTTTTATTGGCTTTAAAGCTGAGCTGCGTGTTTACTCCGGTAAGTAGCCTATTTGTTTTTGTGCTTTTGTTGTATTTTAAATATCATACAGCTGGTTGTTTCATTAGCCCAAAGTCAGTGATACCGTTGGCATTTAAACATATTTTTTAATTATTTTAAATCCATTAGGTAGGATATAACGTTATGTAGGCTACCCCTCATATTTAGTAAAAACTGATAATTCTGACCAGAAAGCCACCGAGAAGTTGGATTCTGATAATTGAGCTCTTTGGGACGAGTGAAGGAGCCGTACATCATTTACTTTATAAAGGCATGATAATGAGACAATGTATTTTAAAATAGCCTACAACTTTTTCTTTTCTTTTTTTTTACCTCGAAGAAGGGGTGAAAGCACCTGTCCGAAAGCGAGGAACAAACCAGAAAAACTACTTGAATTTAATTAAGTTAAAAAATCATTATGGCTTTAATCATGAAAAATATTGAGTCACGCGTGGCGAGGTCATGGATTTAATTCCCCACCTACTCGTTTATTTTATTGGGTTTACGCATTCCATTCACGCACCAATCTCCATAATCTCTGCGAATATTTGCACATCGTCTGTATAAAATGGACCATTTTTGCTGTGAATGTTAATGGTTTGAATTTATTTTTTGTTCAAATAGCTTTTATTGTGTTCATTTGTTTATTATTGTTCTCTCATAGCTGTATAGTAGGATTCTATAATATTATAAGTATCTATCCATCCATCCATCCATTCATCCACAAAATGAAAAATGAAACTTTGCAAAACCAAAATGTCGCACAGTTTGGTTCAGCTATGATACACATGGCAATTGTAACTGAAGCATTCACTAATAGTGTAAATCATACACTTCAGTGTTCATAAAAGCCTCTTACCTGCCCTTTTAGCACACTTCACCCTCTTGAATCTCTGATAAAGGCTGCAGTGTCTCTGCCACTCACCATGTCAGAAGTTGAAGGAAAATACATTTTGGTACTGACTCTGGAATAAAATGTACCAAACATCAGCTAAAAGCATCCTTTAGAAGACATCCCTGCTGATATTTATTTCAACAAACATGGAAATTCAGGCTGACTTGCATGTTGGAGGATGTTTCACATTTGATGGAAAGCAGGTTGCAATGGAAAAGATATGTTAGTTGTTCAAGCGTTGTTTTAAATATATTTGTTTCACTTGAGTCACATTATCAGCATGTAATTGAGCTGTATAAGAAGCTGTGCATTTTAAACATTGTTAACCTTTGGAGGACTGTAATAGATTCAGCGTTGTTGCTGGCATGCTATTTGTTTTATCTTGGATATAGATGGTTGGTATCACCTCAGCTTCCTGCTCTTATCAGCTATTTCCCAAATAATGTAACATCTTTAACATTTGAACTGAAACTTAACCTGAAGTCAGAGCGATGCCTTGGCTTAGAAGAACCATTTTTGGTTCCCCAAAGAACTTTTCAGTGAACAGTTCTAAAAATAATCGTTTTTTTTTTTTTTCTAAGTGGGAAGAAAATTTTAATAAGATCCTTTTTCCACTTTAAATGTCCTTTTGTGCAGTGGAAATGATGTGATCATGTCAACAACAAAGAACCTTTATTTTTAACAGTGTTAGTAGTTGTAATTGGATGGTGGTGGCTGTATGCACCGCCTTCTTCACTAATTTACTTTATTCTAAGGTCAACAAGCTTTCAACTGAGCTGGTTTTCAAACTGATATAATCTTGACACACATTCAGGGAAGACACATGAATGTGTGCTTTACACTAGTCTGAATTCTAATGATCCTTTGGGATACTTTTAAAGACAAAGAAACTAATCATTATGTAAACCAATTTATGTAGATTTCAGCAGCAATACAATTTGATTCCTATAAATACAGGTCAACAAAGTTTGATTGTTTCATTTTATTCCCATTATTCCATGAATTGTCAGTCTTTTACTGTACATTTCATTCTCGGAGGATAATCTACGAAGTTAAGTCACTCAAAGAGTAAGGCTTAAAGAACATATCATTAAAATTGTGAGTAGAATAAGATGGAAGACTCTTTTTGAAGACTTTATCTAAAGAACACATTATAGCACAATTAATTGTAAGTACTAACAATTTGTTCTGACTTTCATTTACTTATGCTCATGTGTCAAGTGAGTCTTTAAGCAAACAAATGAGGAGTTTCACAGCTGGAGATGTGTATGAATCATGATAATGAGGTTTTGTTGCAGCACACAAGATTCCTGATGCAAAACTATGCCTTTAGTAAGAGGCTTGTTTACTGCAAAAAAAAAATGAACATGTTGGTTCCTTTGTTTCTTATGCATAGTCTCTTGTAGCTGTTTTGATATAATCAAAAGAACTAGATTCATATTTTGATAAAAGTAGTCTCTTAAGTTTTTTGTAGTCGCTAAAAGTTGTCGATTTTTTGCACTTGAATTCAGTCATTCCTTCACATTTCTAACCGCAGGAAACAAACGCTTAAGGCATCAGATTGTGTGCGTGGAGAAGGTTTTCCATACAAATTTTTAGAGCTACTTACTCTCTGAAGAGCTAGTGTTAGAACTGAAGAGAAAGTAGCTTTAGATTTCCTCAAGTCTTCTGACTACATCACATAAAGAACACTCCCACTCGACACCCAAACCTCATAATGCTCTTCTGTCCGGTCTGTCTGCCCACCTCACTTACTCATGAGGAATAGATGTGAGACACCTATTGCTTAAGCACCATGACAACGTCCTTCGTCTGTGTTCTATAACCAACTATATTTATAGCACTGTTCAGGTGTGAAATAAGAAAGCTCAGTGTTTTTCACTCACTTAGAGTTCTGTCTTTCTCAGGTTGTCCTCTTGCTCTATCTATCTTAGGGTCCCATATGTCCCAGGCAATAATCGTTTGACTTAATTAACTGAGAAATCGATAAATTAGATCGATCAAGTAAGCAATCAATTAAAAGTGGATAAATAGAAGAATTAAGAATCTGCTAATCAAAAAAAAAGAATTAATAATAACATAAACATTATTTATCATATTTTTTTTTAAAACATATTCAGTTTATAGCAATAAGTAATGTAGATGTTGTGATGAAAATTAATTAAAGGGATACTCCACTTTTTTTGGAAATAGGCTCGTTTAAGAACTCCCCCAGAGTTAAACAGTTGAGTTTTTTTCAAATCCATTCAGCCGATTTTCTGATATTTAGAAGAATATCAGTAAACAGACGGTTTCTGGTCTCATTGACTTCAATAGTGAGAAAGAAATATTCTATGGTCAATGAGACCAGAAACTGTTTAACTCTGGCTGGGGAGTTGTCAAATGAGCCTATTTCCAAAAAAGTGGAGTATCTCTTTAAATATAATGTGATTACAAAGTGATTGATAATTGATAATTGTTTTGTGATCATTTGTAAATTTTTCCTTGAGAGATTTCATGGCTTGCAAACGAGCGAAGCATGGCTGTTGATCAGTGTTCGGATGTACAAATTAACACAAAAGTAATTTTTGGTTCCTTCATCCGAGCCTGTGAAGAAACAATGGGTTAATTTTATTTTTTCTGCACTGGCTAAAAAAAAAAAATATTGTTGATTTAACTTAAAAAATTAAGTAACCTTAAAATTTTAAGTTAATTGAAATGGAAAAATTGAGTTAATACAATGAAGGAGATTGATTTAATCACCGGAAACTCAAAATATTATGTTATCTGAACTACATCAATTATTTAAGTTGATTTGACAAAAGAAAAAATGTTGTGATTAAAAATCATGAAAATATTTTTTTTTTACAGTGTGGAAATGCGCTGACACAACTTCTCAAAGTGGCTAAAATATCAACTACACATTGTTTCTTTTAGTTGGATGAAAATAATCTTATTTAAATTGTGAACAAATTATACAGAAAGAGATCAAAGAACAATATTTCCACAGTGAGAGTTTATCTGGACAACTCATTTCAAAGTTTGTACATTGTATGTACATCATCGTGTTTGCATTGGTGAAAGCATTAGAGAGATTGCAGAAAATGCGTTGCTGTAAATTCTCACGATCAACACACTGTCATCTGCTTGCTCAATGCTCATCACGACAACATTTTATGTAATGGGAATGGATCTAAATACTTTAAAAACTTCTCACGATTCGTTAATCTCGATAGCTGTAATAGTACAAACGTATAAAAGCTGTAGTAAAAGTATTCAAGAGAGTTTTACATATAATATGTAGCTATTTCATATGCAAGCATGTCAGCCAATCACAGCAGTGGGTGGTTACACTGAATCCCACAACAGACATGCCCCTTCAAACAGAGCGTTCAAATCAGAGGCCAAAATCAGGCTAGGAAAATGCCTTTTATTTCTAAATTATGACTATTTTTGATCCAAAAAACATGCTAACATTATAAGGGCAACCCAAGAAACATCATAAAATAATAAAATAATAACCCCCATGTCAGGGGACTTTTAATTTATTCCTAAGTGATTCTGCCAGTCAGTCTCATCTAGGCTGCTTTGTAGATATACAGTATTTTCTTTGCCTGTCTTTGCCTTTGTTTGTGTGAAATCGTTTAAACAGCTGCTGGAAACTTTCCCCGAACATTGGTGTCATGCTTCAGTCGTATACAATTTTTTTTTTATAATAACAAAAACTGACATGTTTCTATTATGTAGTGGTCAAGGGTCCTCAGTTTTATGGAGCTCCAGAAAAATCGCCAAAATCTTCTCTTATCTAAATTCTTGGTGTGACACAGAGCAGATGTGTTTGCAGGAAGTTTATGGTTGTCTCTGGGGTGGTCATTTATGACTCTGCTCTGCATAGTCTGCTGAGTGATTAACTTGGGGCTTTTACTTACAGCGGTAGTGTGAATGTGCAACAGATGTATTTCCTGTTTATTCAGGTTTAAATTGCTGTTCCTTTTCTCCTCTTTCCTCATAAATAGTACAGTTCTGAACTTCTTGACAGCAAAAATATGGTTGTGGTCAACACACCCTAAATCACTCTGAACACCCGCAAAGTAGCCTGCATGATAGACTAGCAGCACTTGCTTGA